TCTCTGATTAATAGAAGAAACTAATTAGAACATATTTTGGATTTTATATATTCTTTGTCTAATAGTTCAAAGGAATGATGTTTCTTTTTTACAACTACATTTAAGCAATCATACTGATTTTTATCCCACCGTACAGAAATTTGAATGGTGAGGGATTTGATTACTCCTTCAATTCTATTTTAAGGTGATAATAAGTTCTTCTATTATCTTAGAGGTTTGAGAATGACTTGATTTGAATATTTATCATTTCGATATATACTCTTGGATAAATGATGACTTAATCTGAGTATTTGATTTAAAGTGAGAACCAGTGACCACTTGATGAAAGAGATAGATAGTTTGAAGGTTTTCTTGAAAAGAAATTTGGTAAATCTGCTATTAGGTTTAACAAGATTTTATTTGTTGTTTCTATAGTGGCCTTTTGTACTACAGAGTTATTTGACTTCCATTGAATCTCAAGTTACATACGAGATTTTTGAAGTTTGATATTGAAAGGGTTAGGAATTTAAAAGATTTGGCATTTGATAAAGAAACATGAGAAAATGGGTTAAGGTGTAGATACTAATGATAAACTTACATAAAAATTGATGTGAATGAGTTATTTATTTTGGAATTCAATCTATAAGTGAGATGCGTTAAAGCATCAGCGATGTTTAATTATGAAATTGTGAACTCTTGTGGGTATGCCATAGGGAAAGTTTTGGTAATGATCGATTTGAAAAACATTTGTTGAGCTCTAACAATTTTTCAGTAAATATTTTGTTCCTTCAGCTTTTGCATTTTGCTTCGTTTTATTGTGGGAAATTTCATGCTCCAAAGTCCAAACTCTACACCTACAACTTCGATTTCCCATCACTTTTCTGATTGTTCTATTGTTTTTACTTTTGAATTTATTATTTTCTCTATGTTAAAAGATTCTTGATTTATTTATTCACTATATGCAGTTTTTGAAACATAGTAGCTCCATTTCCAGTGTTCATAATGAGGTAGATTATGAAATGGAAATGATTATTGTTAGCTAGCTTTTGATGTTGAAAACTTAATTATTTACCTTTCTTAAAAATTACTTTTTGACAAGTGTACCAATTCATAGACAAACAACAACATGAAGTCATGAACATATTTTGGAATGCTTATGTATAGTTTGGCTTATGGTGGTGAGGAAATCATATTTTTTCCCAACTTTAAGCTATAATAGTGATTTGCATCTCACCATAAATCAATTGGAATAGTGAGGGACAAGAGTACTCTTTTAAGAAGTTCGATTCATAACTTCTTCTGTAATCTTTTGTGCTTGAGAATGGCTTAGTTTGACGGACTATCTATCTTATGGTTTTAATTTAGTGGTGATGCCTTAAAGATTTAAAGTGAGAACCACAACACTTGATGGAAGAGATTTTGAGAGTTTTCTGGACTAAAAAATTGGTAAGTCTCCTATCGACTATCGTACGAGTTATAGATGTTTTATTGGTGAGACTAATTTCAAATAACGTGTCACCATCTCATTTTCATTTTCTCTTATGTAATACAAAGTGTTAGTAGTTACTATCACTTTTCATTTTCTAGTTCTACTTTGCAAGTATTCTAAGTTCTTTATTTATTGTTCTACTTTTTGTTTTGGATGAGCTGCTGCGGATTATGGTGAATTACAAGGTGATTAATCAATGCAAGTAAGTATTATGGTGCAGACTATAGAAAAATATGAGATGAATACTTATATTTTCTTACGACATGGGTTGAATTCATGCCTGGAAGCAAATGTGTAGTTCATTGCATTGTCACAACTATTTTGAATGTCCAACTTTGTTGTAAAAAGTGAATGTAAGATAACAAGGTTTAGGACTAAAAGTTATAGCAAGATTATTAATTAAAGAGTATGCTTATTATTAAGAGATCTCTAGAGTGCGTAGCTATATATATGAAAGTTGTAAATTGAATGTTAACGGGGCTTGATTGAAAGTTGTTTTTTGTTGTATGTTTTGTTGGGTGTGTCTCGTAAAATAAAGAAAATTAATCAATTAAAGTTAATAAAAAAGACTAAAGAAAAACAGAAAAGAGATGGAGCAGGAAATAGCCAAAGCTCGTGCGACGCAGATGTCCTTAAAACGTATCTGTGCCAGCCTTTTATAGGGAAGGATTTGTTGAGTTGTAAGTGCGTTTTTTTAATGGACCTGTCCGCTGGACATCAATGACATTTATCTTTGGAAGATAGATTTTTGGACGACATTGGTGTCCGCAGGTCGATTGCCGGCGCACACAAGTCATGGTTTTTCTTCTCCGTTTTCAAAATTTGATTCGTACCCCCTGCACGCAAATAGAAGCTTTCCACTTAGGAATCTTAACTCCTTCAAAGAGGGTTCCCTTTATAAGGGGTTGAAAATCCCTTGGGTTTTCCGGTATGGGATAAATCACACTAGAAACCAATCATTTTCCTAGTTTCTCCATTTCAATGAGCGAACTTCGAGAATCAATTTCTCATTAACCCGTTATCCGTTTTGAACGTACCATATATCGAATTGTAGCCCTTAACAAGGACAATCCGAAGCCACTTTGACCCGATCCAAATTAAATCGGGAGTGGACCCACTCAAAATATTACCCAAAATTGACCATTTAATGTAATTTTTAATACATTTTCCAACATGTTTTATGTTTGTTTTATGTATGTTTCATAGTCATACTATATATTATTTCAAGATAACAATATGTACACTTATTTTACAAGATGTCCTCACTCTATGTATGTATAAGAAAACAAAGTAAGAGCAAAATAGTAATCCGATTAATACTCCCCTTCAATTCCGTCCTTTAAAACTTTGTCAAGTTTGATTGGCACGAAAAATACCAAAGTAAAGACTGTGTGACTGAGGTTAGTGCAGAGGAGAGAGAAATAACATGAACTACAGATCAATTAATTAAGGAAAACTTTTGGTTCCTCAATTAGTCACCATATTGAAATGTCACACCTATGTTTATCACATTGTAAATGTTACCCCCGAATTGACAGATGTGTTGTAAATGTCATCACTAGTGAATTTATTGATAGTCTAGAATTGGAGATGAATTATAAACGGTGGGGATGACATTTACAACACATATCTCAATTCGTGAGTGACATCTACAACCTCAAAAACACGAGTCTGACATTTCAATATGGTCACTAATTGAGAGACCAAATGTATGATTTTCCCATTGATTAAAAGGAAAAATATTAAATTTTTTGAGACAATCCAAAAAAGAAAGATGTTAAAGTCAAGAGATGGAGATAGTAGAATATTGTGTCATAGCAGTCAATATATATATTTTAAATGCAATAGAGGGAGAAAATAATATATTATGATCTACCTTTGTACTAATAAAGTACATTAGTCTAATTTAATTTTTCCTAATTGTTGATTTTTCTCCTAGATCCACCATATTATATTTACCGATCATCGATTATTCTTATAAACCGCAATAAATACGGTAAGAGATGGAGGAAGTATTAAATAATGCAATTCGAGTAACATTATACTCATGAATACACATGAAAAGATATATCTCAAAATTAAGAAATAGCGGAATTGTAATTAAAAAGGGTTTTTACAGAATTGTTCAATCATTTCAAATTACCCGGGGCAACGCCCGGGCAAAACTCTAGTGTTAGACTTAAATCCTTCTATTGATAATTAATTAAGTTTTAATAATGACAATTTTAAAACTACATTAATATCTCTATAAAGTTGTAAAATTCAAATTAAAATTTAATTAAGAATTAATATTATAATAAAGTGAATAGAATAAATTCGTTTGATATAAAAAGTCAATTACATAACTCAATTTGGAACGAAAGGAATATAAGTTATAAGCGATTTTTTTTACCACAAGTAAGACGTTGTTTAAGCGATACGAGGATGTTTGGTAAATGGTGTTTCAGCCGAAAAATGATGATTTGATCACTTTTAGCATTTCTATAAGTGAAAAATCTGTTTGGTAAATAGTTGTTCGGCACTAGCATTTTTGGACGGAAACGCTGAATGAAAACGCTGCTAATAGGAGAATTTGAAGTTAGCGTTTTGAAAAATGGCATTTTCTACTAATTTTATTGTCAAATAGCAAAAATGATTAACATCTTATGACATCTCGCCAATTTATTCCGCTAGTCATACTCAATTTGCTATTTACAATCCGTTAGCATAATACGCTAGTCATAACATCTTATGACGTGAATACTTTAACACGTCCATAAGTCTACATACTCCATAGGCATAAGTAAATGTCATTTTCTTGATTAGACAGTTCTAATAGATATACTCATGGGCGGTGAGAGGAGCCATTAGCCCTGGGCCCAATGGGTAAATAATTTAATTTGACCCAGCAAAAAAATTATACTCCCTCCGGTTCTTTTTAAACTTCAGTGTTTGACTTCACAGTTATTAAGGAAATAAAGTTGACTTTACTGTAGAGTACACTGTTGAGACACTGTTTGGCACTGTTGAGACACTGTTTGACACTGTTGAGACACTGTTTGGCACTGTTTAACACTGTTTTGATGTAGATTTCTTTGCCAAATAAGGAAATAAGGAAGTGTGAAGTTTATTTTGGACCGTCCCAAAAAGGAAAGTGTGAAGTTTATTTAGAACCGGAGAGAATATTTACTCCCATAAAATTCTAATGAATTTTAATCGCATTTGAACTTCAATCCTCGCTACGACCCTGGGACTCTCTGGTCTTGGGACTCTGGTTTTACTTATCAAAGTTTGATAGTTTTGAATTAATTCTACTTTTAGTCTTATGAGTTATGAGTTTTATGTCAATTCAATATTTAGCTCAGGTATTTCATTTTGTTCACTTTTGATACTTCATCAATGTTTATTGACTATTCATCATCCTTTTCCAATGATTTTAACCTCTGAAAACATTAGACAAAAACATACGGAGTAATAATCATGTATTAAAAGTGATCAAAATCATAGATGTGAAGTTATGAACGTAACTAATTATGAAATTGAGGCATACTAATTGACGAAAAGTTGAATTTATTAATTCTTGATAAAGTTTCAAACGTTTACACATTGATATATGGACATTTCAAAATACAAAAATAAAGTTCACAATTCGATGGGAATACTATACAAGTAACTAGTATACATGCTTTTCGTTATATACACGGGTATATACTATATACACAAGATTGGCATGGTGCAAGAATGGTTAATTGACAATATTAAATAAAACCAACAAACAATAAATTGAGAGGTACGAATAGAATATACGGTTCCATTTGAAATGTCGTGCACGAAAAAATCTGCTAATGCTCTTCACAGGCCAGGAGTGACCGGCACGCCGGTGGGCAACCACGAGGTACCGCCGAGGAAGCTACTGACGGTGAACTTGGAAGCGTCAGCTGCGGAGGTGATCACGTGATAGCCGCCCCACCGGACTCTCCTGTTCGTCGACGCCCCCGGCCCGGAATTGAGATATTCGCCGTAGTAGAGAGTGTTTAGAGCAAACGGCCCGTCCCACGGCAACCACCCCTCCGGGGCAATCAAGCTACCCAGGGAAGTCTTCATGAAGACCGTCCGTGAGTATAGCTTCCACGGCCGTCCGAGGTATGTCTTCGCGGATCCTGACAAGCCCGTAGCTCCCGCGACTCTGCTGTTGTGGATGGATATTCCGGTGTTCTGGTTCGGGTCCTTCCGGCCCTGGGCGGTGATCGTGTTGGTCCCGGCAGGCGGGTTGCGCGCATAGATATTGGAGTTCTGGATGACAACGGCGGCGTTACCGAAGATGAAGTCGACTGTCCCGTAGATATTGCAATCCCGGTAGAACTGCCGGTTAGAGTGAACGTAGAGAGTGTCTTGATAACCTTCGAAACTGCACTGGTAGAACACCGAGTGATCGGAGCCGGACCGCAGCGCCACCGCCTGGTGGTTTGCAGCTCCGGCGGTGTTTATGAATCTTATTCCTCGACAAATAAATCCTTCTCCCACCGCAGCTAAAACAAATAAATTGCGATCAGCAAAAAGTTGATAGTACTCTCATTTTTCATATTTGTCGAGAGACAACTTCGATCATTAATATGTTTAATTCTTTTCTGTTGTTAAAAAAATTCAAAAATTATGATTTTGAAACAAAAGGTCAATTATATAATTGGCTTACCAAAAGTAGCTGATTTGAAGGTGGTGAAGCCACCTCCTACACTTCTCCTACCCGTAATAATTGTTCTCTCAATTCCGTCACCAAACATCGTGATATACTTCAACTTCTTCCCGATTTCCACATTTTCTGTGTACGTTCCGGCCTTCACATGTATAACAATCCTCTTACTTCCGGTTCTCCTTGTCGCTGCTGCTGCTGCTACTGCTTCACCCACTTTCTTGTAGTTTCCTGTACCATCTACGGCCACCACAATATCCGCTCTAGCGCCCGGTGACGGCGATTGCAATAGCTTCCGGTCTCCGGGCTTAACCCAAGTGGGGAAGCCATCTTTATTAGTGGTGGCATCTTCATGAGTAGAGTTATATTTGCTAAGGGCTAATGTGTTGGAAATCAATTGTGATGTGTTGCTTGACAACAAGGGGTATATGTTGTCTATGACGTTGAATTCTATGAACCCGTTCAAACACGTGTCGATGTTGGTCAATGCCGCGCTGAGCCACGTTTGCTCATCAGACGCGGTGCACTTGGTGAGAGGATCAATCGTTGTACTGATCCTCTCGACCATATCGTCATATAACTCTACGCAATCTGCCCATGCGGCCTTTTCACGCCCGTTCTTGCATTTCGGGCCTAAAGAAGCGATGTAGGCTTTAGCTTTCATGGCATGATCAAGGGCCACTTTCTTGCTAACTTCGAAGATATTTGTTTCATTTTCTGATGCATAATCTCTCAAATAGTACTCACAATGTTTGGGGTAGGGGGTTTGACTGCACTGATGTTTATGAGGATTGCAAGAAACCCCTGTGAAAAGGAAAGATAGGACTAGGAATGATGCTAAACAAGTCAATATCATTTGGATTTTTGCCATTTTGTGAATGGTTTGGATTATATGTTCATTGGCTGCATTATAGTTCCTTTTATATGGACGCAGTGGGGCCGTGGGGGTGGTTGAATCACTCTTTCTTTGCAATTTCTTTTTACAATTAGTGGAATACATCAATTAGTTTAATTACTATAAAGTTGACAGTGATTATTCTTAGCTTGCCGCTATATATTAAGTCAATTATGGGCTACCAGTCTCTTTGCCATTTTACAACGTTGATTAGGACAAAAAATTTTACTACCTTCGTCCCGCAAGAAGTTCCCGATTTGACTTATACACATATTAAGAAAATAAACTTATTAGGGGTAAATTTTACTGTTTTGACATTGTTTGACACTGTTTAGCACTGTTTGACACTATTTTGCACTGTTTGGCACTGTTTTGATGTAGATTACTTTCCATTTAAGGAAATGAGAACTTAAATTAGGGACATCCAAATAAAGAACGTTGGAAATGGCACTGTTTTGAGTAATACAATCACATATCTCTTGAAGTTATTCAAGATAGTACTGGTAAAGACCAATTATAGTGTGAACTGGTTTTAGTAATAAACAAGTAACAAGTCTAATTCATATTCCAAGTTGTTGTTGATTCATATTCGAAGTTACAACAAAGACTTTACCTTCGAATCTTCCATGCTCATTTTACTACTGTATTTGTCCCTTTTTAAAATTTTCCCTTTTCCTTTTAATACGGAGTATGTTACAACTTACAAACAAATTCATCTTCACACTTCTTCTCCTTATAAATAGAATAAAACATAAATGCCTTTTTATATTAACAACATACTTCAATTCCCAATTTAATATCTGATTTTGTTTTAAAAAACAATATATTTTATTTCGATCAAATGAAGAAGACTAACATAATTTTATTTCTCAAGTAAAACATCTAGTCATAGAAATACTTGAAGTCACGTATGGGGATACCTGTGACATTGTGCCAAAAGATTCTCGTTAAAAAATTGCAGTTATATACTTGTATAGACTCAGTCTTTTTCAAATTGATTTTAAGCACACTATTTTACTTCTTAAAATGGTGTTTATAAATATCAAATTTTGGATTAAGAAAATACATGCATGGAAACTTTTCAATTCTTATCAAATCAAAACGAAAAAACACATGATAAATAATTAATTAATGACTTTATTGCATATAGAATTAGTGTTAGATATTAAAACTTCACAAATTCAAAAACTTTACGTGATCGAATATAGAGTTTTAAGAATATAAAAAATCTTAGTTTTTTAAAACAATCATTTTCATTCTTATGAAGTTATAAAATCATATACTTCATACGTCATCCGGTCCTAAATAAACTTCCTAGTTTGACTTTATGGTTTTTAAGAAAGTGAAATTTGTACTTTTGACTTTCCCATCATGCCCTTACAAAAAGGTGATAAAGTGTAATTGGAGATAGAAAGTAGATAGATGTAAAGTAAGGTACTACCTCCGTCCCATTTTATGTATCTTAATTTGACTTGACACGATTATTAATGAAATGGTTGAAAAGGTAAAAGTTGTGGTTGAGGTTTGAGTATAATAAAGTGAAATGGTGTGGGCCACATATTTCTTTCCAAAAAAAGAAAATGAGACACTTATTTTGGGATGACAACCCAAAAAGGAAAGTAGGACATGTAACGTTATGTTAAAAACTTGCCAAAAATAGAAGTGTGAAGTTTATTTTGGACCTCTGTTCTAAAAATCATTCTAGGCGTCCGGCTAGTCCCCGCCTAGGCGCTAGGCGGTGGCCGGGCACCCCAATTTTCGTCTAGGCGCTCCGACTGATTGGTTTGCCGTCTAGGTGAATTAGTCGCTCGCTATGGCGCCTAATAGCCCAGCCCGCCCAGAGCGCATAATCAACCGCCTAGTTTCGTCGAACATTACTTTACTTTTATTTTTTATTTTTTAATCTATATAAGTACATTAACTTTAGCCACGAATATAAAGAAATGAAATCGTAAATTAAGATAAAAACTATATGTGTTTGTATATATACCTAAATTTTATTATTATTCATATTTATAACATAATGAAGTTATATCACATACTATGTATGATTAAATGCGATAATTCTATCATTCATGTTTGTTAATGTACATGTTAAGGTTTAGTCCCGAAGATCCGAAAGCCCAACACAAGCTTTGGATATTTTAGGGATGTTGGGTTGGTTTGGAAAGTGTATAAAATGTAAAACAGTGAAATATTAATCAACTCAGGAGCCCACTTGCATTCAGTAATTCTGTGATTACACTGAAATTACCCGAACAGTAGGTAAGTACAAGAATACAAGAAAGAGAGAAGTGTTTCTACTTGCTAAGCTCTGAGTCTTAAAATGCTAACCCTTTACAATGTTCTTAATGCAGGTATTTATACTAAAATGGGGATGGGAAAGCTGGACACGTGGCTGAATCCGGTAGGCTGTGCCCCCTGCCATGTAGGAACTCATGCCCCCACTTGCTGCTGCCATGCTTTTGCATTAAATGCGGCCTCCACTGGCTGACTACCCGTTTGGGTAGGGCGTTCGGTGTGCGGGACCCCGCCATGGGTCTTTGGGTGTAATTGTTTCCTGAAATTTTCCAAGTATAAGAAGTGTGTCGAATGCCGAACGGGTCTGGACTGCTTTGGGCCTTATGCTTCCTCCTGGTCTCCTCATACTTTGGGTCGGGGATATTGGGCCTGGACCCAATATCCCAACAGTACACATACATTATGTATGTGTATATATGTATTTTATACACACACAAATACAATATTATTTATCATATATATTTATGCAAAAATATAGATAAATATGCAATTTCTTTGTTTCCGACTAGTCCCCGACTAGGTGCCCGCCTAGCCGCCTTGGCGCTAGGCGCTGGGCTGGCGCCTGACTAGCGTCTAGCGCCTTTTAGAACATTGTTTTGGACATACCTAAAAAGCAAAGTGTGAAGTTTATTTAGGGTCGAGGGAGTATAATATTAGAAATATTTACAAATTGTTTATAAAAATAGGACTAGTGACTAGAGTAGTAATTAAATAATTATGCCCAATTTTTGAACTTAAGTTACCATGACACCACATAGAAGTAATTATCAGTCATATTTTTGTATATAGTTTTTATTTTAATAATGTATAGGGATATCTGGAGAGAACTAATATTAGCATGCTTCAATTCTAAATCTAATATTTAATTTAATTTAAAAAACACAATATTTTATTTCAGATAAAGAAGAGTTTTTTCCGTATTAATGTTAATTAAATAAATATTTACAAAAATTGGGTTGGGTTAAAAGTTATTACCGATATACTGGTGGGCTTAACCCTAGTCGGGGTAAGTTGCCAAATGGTTGGGTGACTTATAAGTCGCCATCCGATTTGGCAACTTACCTCTTAAATAGACAGAAGGGTTCATTCGGTCTGCAGACAGAACACAAGTCTTCCTCCAAATCCCCAAACCCTCTGCAGCGACGATCGACGAGCGGCGAAAACCCCCTCCAACTCCAGTGAAGCTCCGTCTCCGGTGAACGACAGCGAGGCCTCCCTATCTTCTCAATACTACTTCACTTCCATCTTCTTCAACACTCTAGGTAAACAAATATCTCCATTTTATCTCATTTTTCATGTTAGGGTTTAGAATGTAGAAATTTCGATTTTGTAAATTAGGAATTCATTTGTGAATTGATTTGTTGTGTAATGTGAATATTTATGAAGTGTTGAATTTTGATGTTCAATTCATTGTTGATTTTTTTGTAATGATGTTATTTTTTTAATGTAGTTAATGCTAAAAAAACTCGTAAATTTGAATGTAATATTTTCCCATTGTTAAGTGTATACATATCATACAGGATTTGCTTAATATGTTCTGATGTCTATGAAATGATTAATTTGGGTGTATATAGTGTGTATATTAATGTGTACTCATGAAAGTTAGACATGTATTGTTATTAGAATATAGATTTCTCAAACTTCCCAATCGTGTGTCATTGGGGAGGGAACATATTTGAGGACGCTGGCCAAATACGCCATGAAGGTGGTAGAAGAAGCTTTGTAATTGTTTCTCGTGGCGCATGTTTGCTCGAGATGCTGCAAAAAATCCATGTCACTACACAAATTCCTCCGAGCCGTTCTTTGAGATTGAAAATGAAATATCCCCTTCACGGGGGATCCTACATGCTTATGCCACTTGATGATGAGGTAGCTATCACAAATATGTGGTTGATACTTCAGATGCAGAGTATGTCCACGGTGGAGATATACATTGAGGAATCCTAGGTGACGCTAGCTTCTACTACTCCCTCAATATCAAATGCTATTGTATATATCTAGGCATGGTGTCAATGCAGGGGACTCCTCAAATGTTGTTGTACTGGACACTAAATATATTCCGGGCTGCATTTACATTTATTTTTGTTATCACTTATTCCATTTTAACCCCCCCTTTCCAATCTACATGTTCGCTGCCTCTTTACCTTGTGCTTGAACTGCTCTCCAGCTTGTTTAGGTTGTGGCAGTAGCTAAGCAAAGTCTATTAAAAAACAAACGTTCTTTATACAAAATTGTTTGTTGAACCCTTTCTGACTATTTAGTTTCAAGTTTAAAACAAGCTTGAATTATAATTGTTAAATGGACTTTTATTAATTCAGGACCCGAAAGATATATGAATTATCAATCCGGGACCCGAAAGATGAAATGTATCAGTATAAGACCCGATTGATGGAAAGCTATCAATCTAGGACCTAGCATTTCATAGGTTTTGATTTATTTCATTTTTTATTATTTCCATTGATAATTTTTGATAAAGTTTTCTTCACAAAAAGTTTATTAGTTCAACAAAACTAAACAATTTTAAAATTTTTAAAATGAAAAAAATTATTAAAATTCATGACAACTTAGGTCCTAGATTGATAATTTTCAATCATTCAGGTCCTAAATTGACAGTTTTTCATTATTCGGGTCTTATACTGATACATTTCATCTTTCAGGTCTCGGATAATCTACAAATGGCCCAATCAGACGGTGCAATGGTGAACCATTTCATAAAGTGAACCATTTGCCTAAAAGGAATTGCCAAAATTAATATACATACACTATTATAAATGTTGTTGAAATGAAACCGTGCTCATTAAGTATAGACAGTTGTTTCCCAACGTCTAAGATAAACAAATTTTCTTT